AGCAAAGGGATGATGCCACTAAGACTCAGGGGTTTAAAGAGAGTGAAAGAGAATGAGAAGACTTTAGTTTGGAAAAGTGATGAAAAAGACAATAAAGAAATAAGATTCAGGAAGAGAAGATGACAATTGACATTTACATTTTTGAAGATTGTAGTTGGCAGGGAAACAAAAATCGGAAAGGTTTTCCACGAGTGAGAAGTGCGAGAAAAGAAACTATTAGAATAGAACTGACGGTTGCATCTCACTAGTTCAACAGTAAAACGGTAAGACGTAGTTGCCAATCTAGTAGAACGCATAAATTAATGCAGCCGAGGCAGTAAAGAGAGCAGCTGATCAGAACAATTGTCATGAAAATATTTGTAGAAAAGACAGAGAGAAGCCACGCCGCGTTAGTGGGAAAGTGGCTAAAGTCGAGATGCCAGGTCAGAATCGGTTATATTACATGCCCTTCTTAGAGACTGTTCTTTAAATTTTATCAAGAATCTCGAGATATATAGTAAGAATAACTGGCAGATATGGCAGCAGTATTCAATGGATAGACGAATGGTAGATTTATAAATGAGCAAGAAGGATTCTGTCAAGAATAATTGTCTGGCACGGCAGAGTGAACCAACTTTCCTAGCAATAGAAGTAGCAATTGATTTAATATAACATTGGTCAACACGATTTTTGGTGCCAAGAAACAGAACATGTTTTTTTTTTGTTTTTTTTTAGCTAATTTGATGGTGCTGATTCCGAAAATAAGTTTAGTATTTCATGTTTAGGTACCATTTTTGCTGTACTGAAGTTGCTGATTTTTCAAAAAAAAAAAGATCAATTTACGATCTTGACTAATCGCAAAATTTAGTTAATAAATGTCGTAAAAACCCATCAATTTTCGAGTAGGCGGAGCAATTTATGTCAATCACCTGAAATAAACTATTTTTATAAGAAAAAAGTGTTTTTGAGTTAAAAATTTTAAAATAGAAGTATCGAATTTTTCCATTTTATCGCCAAAATTTAAATTAACTTATAAACTATCAATGAAACCATAAAATCTTCTGTTTGATATTCACAAATTTATCCCATCACTATGGAAGGAAACCAAACACATTGAGAGCATTTTGTTTTCACAGTTGGAAAGACATCCCAATTGAATGCACCAATTCCATTGTACATGATACTGCGGGAGTATCAAAAGGGACTTAAATAACATTGAACATAACAATCAAGAAAGAGAAAATTTTTACCATAGTTTTTATGTTCACGAAGGTTTTATTTCTGCTGTTAATTTATTAAATGATTTGATGAAAATGCTTGTTGGTTTTGCTATATTCAATCGTGTTATTTTTAAAGACTTAGGGTTTGATTGTTATTGAAAAAATAGGATTTCTCAATAAGCAGACCAATATGTGTTGGTTTAAATACGAATTGAGAAATTTCTATTATTTTATTTTGAGAAATATTGCCATCGGTCAATAACATATATACAGAAAACAAATGAAAAAAGCTGTTTGTATAGCAAAAACGGTAACTAACCAAGAAAAAGTAAGGTCATTTTCAGATTCAGCGCCTCCCCCCATCAAATTAGATTAAAAAAAAGATGTTTGGTGTCTCGACACCATTTCCATTTTGTTTTTGTTTTTTTGTTTTTTTGGTTGACCAATGTAATCATTCACCTTCATGTCAGTGGAAAACGTGATCCCAAGGAGGGGATTTATCTAAGGTTTCTAAAGGAAGTCGAACAATAAAGATTTCATTAACATTGTGTAAAACCTAGAGACCTGATATACGATGAGAGTGGATGTTCTCATTGTTTTGAAGTTAGCTAAAAACTTGATACCAGTTCCAGATTTAGACACCATCTAAACAAGACGTAACTTAACGACCCACAATCCGTAGGGGCTTCAAATATTTCAGAATCTTTTTTTAGGGACTGAGAAAATGCGGGGTGTTAAATTCCAGCATATTTTTTTTAATGAAAGACCTCCAAGCTTTAAGGCGAAATCTGGCAGTGCATGATGCATAGGAATAGTAAAGAAACGGCGAAAGAGAGAGAAAGAGAGTGAAAATAAAATGGATCAGTGACATTTCTTCACGACTTGGCAATGTTTTGAGGATGGGTGTGTAAGAGGGGGTTCAGATCGGTCTTTGGTAAAAAAAAAATGATTTTCATGCATTTCAATAGAGTCATAAGAAGACAACCTTATATATTTAGATGTGAGATATATTTTATATCATATATTTCTTTCTTTTTTGTCTCGTTCAGCATATTTTTCATTCTTATCATCTTTTTCTTTGATTTTTTTTTATTTTACATTCTTGTCTTATGCTTTTTTCTTTCTTTGTTTATTTGGAGATCGATTTCCATTATTCCGTTATTTTTCCTTTTCTTTTTTTTTACTCTCTCCTTTTATTTCATTCTTTTCCTTTTATTTATTTTTCTGCTTTCCTTTTCTTTCTTTTTTTTCTATATCTCTTTTCTTTATCTCATCTGCATCATTTACAACTTTACTTTCCTTGGGCTTTTTCTTTCTTTCTTTCTTTCTTTCTTTTCATCACTCCTTCCACCCATTTTTTCTTTTCCTTTCTTTATTTATGTATCTACTTCACCATTATTTCTTTACTTTTCCCGTTCTTTCTTTCTTTCTTTCTTTCTTTCTTTTTTTTTTCTTTTTTTTTTTTTTCTTTCTTTCTTTTGATATTTATTCTTGAAATTTAACTTCCAGGTCTTATATTCTCAGAGACACACCTTTTTCTAATCACGCTCGCGATCAATTTTCACAAAATTCTAAAATCATTAACATCATGAAATTCTTTTATCTTTTCATCAACTATTTTTAATCGAAACTTTCGGATCGCTATTCTCCGATCCTTAAATATCCATCGTGGATCAGAAATAAAGAAAAAAAAAACAAACAACGGAAATACGATGAAAGAAATACAGATCCAAAATTCAATAATCATAAAAATGATTCATCAAGAGGATTGCATCTCCTGCTGCAAGTGGAATTGATAACGCCGCTGCCACAGAAAGACTGGTAACCAAAGAATGTATAGACATGTAATTCCGATTTTATTATCAGAAAGAAGACCCTGGAGAAATCTGATAAAAGCAAAAAAAATGGACACATGTACAATATATGATTCCATGCCATCTTCAAACCAACTTGATATAAAGGTCTCATAAAGCGTAAAGAAAGACAGTCAACGCAGTTTAGATTCCTACTTCTCACACTGCTTATATCAATAAACGTTCTATCTCCGTCATTGTGCACTGATCGAAAATAACATAGCAAATTTCATACAATATATATCTTACATGCCCGTTCAAAGATTGTATCTCTGATAATAATAATAATAAACCTACTACATATATTGGTGTTACTACAACCACATTCTCCTGCAGACTTACCTGTCACATTTGTGATCTTACTTCTATTAAACAACATTTCTTAGAAAAATATATCCATGTACATAATATTAAACTGATATTAGTGGATAACACAATAATACTCACAAATACACACCGTAAAAAGAACCTTCAGATATTGGAGGCTATCTACGTTAAAGCAAAGAAACCCACACTCAACAAAATTATATTTCAAACTAGTCACAACACATTACATTGCATCTAGACATATGATTCTCTTGTTAATATTTCGGCCTCTCACGCGGTATGACGTCATAGAACCGCATCTCGTTACTCAGATATTCACATTTTAAATTATGTCAGTTTTTTCGGGAAATCATATATATATATATATATATATATATATATATATATATATTCAGTTGTATGGATATTAGTTTGCGACCCTGGGTTTCACGCTTTTTTTTAAAAAAAAGAGTTTAGCTGAGGATCGCAAAAGCGTGAAACACAGTGTCACATACTAATATCCATACAACTGAATATCTTAACTCTATCAATGATATTAGAGCACTTTCAACTAAGTACTGTGCATATATATATATATATATATATATATATATATATATATATATATATATATATATATATATATGTATATATATAGTTACAATTTGCTATGTTTCAAGGAAAACCTGTTCACTATTGGATGTATAGTATTTATAGCTTTATACTCTGTGGACATATGTATGATCACTGCTTCAATATGATCTTTAAACCAGTCACCATGTAGTGTTGATATGTATACCCACTCTCTATCTATTTCTCTCTATTTCTCTCTCTCTCTCTCTCTCCCTATATATATATATATATATATATATATATATATATATTAAATCTTTGGCAAAAAAGATATTCGCCAAAAGAACGGTTAAATTAAAAGTGTGCTCAATACATTTTCCATAAAACGAAAATGTAGGGTAAGTTAATATAAAATATCCGAAACACTGACCTTCCTGCAACCATGGTTTCTACTGACGAAGTCATCTTGGTAGAAACCGTGGTTACTGAAGGTCAGTGTTTCGGATATATATATATATATATATATATATATATATATATATATATGATGCATTCTTATTCTTTTCATTCTTGTTTTAGTTTGGCCGATTTTCTCTTTGCAATCAAATAAGTCATAGAATTTGCTTTTCGACTGACTGGAATCATGATATCTCATGTATTTGTTAGTCATATAAAAATCCTGGCGTTTTTCTCTTGGAGCTACGTTGTTTGGAATCTAAAAAATACTTTAAAAATCTAAACGATTTCTGCAGGCATAAAATGTATCATGTCTTTTATAAGTTGGGAAAAATGATCCCATTCTATTTGTACAATGTCAATTTCGACCTTTTGTTCCAAACATTTGGCGATTGCTACGAAGCATCGCAATTCGAGGAATCTTACTTGCTGGGTGGTAAATGTGTAAGCGTGAGTATGTAGAATTTTTTACAGCCGACCGAAATAGGTTTGAGCGAAAGATCAATGTTCATAATTTTTGACAAGGTTCCTTTCTTTTTATCGGTCACGCAAGAATTAGGTATTAAATCGTTGGAACTTGGAAACCTGCGCAATAGTGTTTTGGCTATCAAACGGTAACACTGACAAAGAAAGAAAGAAAGAAAGAAAGAAAGAAAGAAAGAAAGAAAGAAAGAAAGAAAAAAAAGAAAGAAAGAAAGAAAGAAGTACGAGATAAATAAACCAAAAAATACAAAAGGAAGAAAGAGAAAAGAATCAAGGTCTTAACATATTTATATTGACTGTAAATACAGCAGCGCTCAAATGTCGGAGGGCACAACATAAATCGAAAAGCCAGAACAATTCCCGAACGGGCTCAAATAATTCACAGGTTTTTGAAGTAAACAAGGATTTTGCAAATTCAACACTTAAATCTGGATTCAGTTCCTAATTTTGTGAAAAAATGCTTGAATGAAATTAAAATTATTTTTCCTTTTTAATATGTTTAATTTCAAGCTGAAAAAGTTGAACAGTCAAATGAAAAATTATACATTTTAAGGAATATTATTCTCGGAATTACTTTCCCTGCCTACCCGCTCAGTATCTCTCTCTCTCTTTTCTCTCTCTCTCGTGCCCTCTTTCTCTCTCCTGTTCTCTCTTTCTTTCATTCTCTCTTTTTCTCTCTCCTCCTTCTCTCTATCTCTCTCTTTACATGTAAAACTGGCCACTCGAATTCGAATATACCCGTTTACTAGGGCGTCTTACCAATCCCTATTGCTGACGCTCGCTCGAGCATATTTGTTCAACACCCATAGTGTACTGCAACTATGCTGAGCAAACCTTGGTTAGAGATTCTGGGAAAAAAAGCGTGGTATCTTGTGTGACCAACAATTTATACAAGGCCAGTACGCTTAAACCCTCGGCCACGATGACTTGTGACTTCGTGCTAGCACAACTATCAACGGCCCCTAAAGGTTCCGTCTACTCAATTTTACTCACAAGGCTTGAGTCAACCCGTAGTATGTTTTTCACGCACTTTCCAAAGGTGCCACACGCTGGGATCAACCCCTCCAGTCTGATAACATCAGGAAGTCGCTTTCCTGACAAATCGAACCCGAGTCTCATGGTTAGCAGAATGCAAACTTTCAACCATTCGACCACGTGCCCATATATATATATATATATATATATATATATATATATATATATGGTCTACCGAAAATAATTTTACAAACTCTGGGGGCGGATTCCTGACACCAAAACAAGACAAAATGTCCATATAAGCATATGTCGAAAAGGCCATCATTGCACATCAACACAACAACACATAACAAATGTTCGAAATGTCCTCCGCTTGTTTCTACACACGCATGCACCCGTCAGATCACTGACTGGCGGACACTTTCAAATACTCCCACACAGTGTCGAATGATTTCAAGGCCCTCATGACACGTTGATGAAGCATCTCTGCATTATTGATGTCTTCTGCATCAGCCAATTTTTATGTGACCCCACAGATAACAAATCCAATGGACTGAAGTCGGGGGAACGCGCAGGCAATGGAAACGGTCCTCCCCTATCTCTCCATCTTTTATGGTAGATGTCAGCCAGTGCATCGCGAACAACGAGACAAAAATGTGCTGGAGACCCACCATGCATGAATCCCATGTGTCTTAGTATTAGCAAGGGTGCATACATCTAGAAGGTCTGAAAGTGTATTCGAAATAAAGCCCCTGTAGACAGCTCTTGTAAGACGTGCTAGGAGAACATAAAGACCTACCGGACGATCACCTACAATTCTATTACACATATTAATCGTAAACTGATGCTAGTGTCTAACCTGTATTGAACCATTAGGATTCAAAGTCGCCCACAAATATTGGTTGTGTAAGTTTGTTATTCCATCTCTTGCAAATATTGCCTCATCCGTAAACAAGGCTGGAGAGAAAAATTTTAATCAGCAGCTTGTGTAATAATCCATCGGCAAACGTTCTCCAATAGTGAGTGATCAGACGGCGAAAGACCCTGCACGCGTTACAAATGATACGGAGCTGCACTTGAAGTACCCTCCATTCGGCACTGAGATGTACGACATGCTAGGGTCACTTGACGTTTGTTAATACCTAGATCGTTTCCAACAACATGTAGAATGTGTTCTTCGTGGTCAGGTGTACGAGCCGATCTCGGTGTTTTTCGATCCACAGTTACCGGTGCCACGTAACCTGTCCCAGCAACGCGACGATAAACAGCAGCAAAAGTTGGATGATTCCGCTGCCTTCAGTCTGGAAACGCAACCCGATACAGACGTGCAGCCTCGCGTCCACTGTCATTCGCGCGGCCTTATGTAAAAATCATAACTGCCTGTTCATGATATGAGTAGCCTGCCATTGTTAATCTGAACACTTCTCACTTAAACGTCGAAAACAGACGAGCTACAAATGTACACGAGTGATAAATGTAACCGCGTCTAGATGATAACACTGCACCATCTACCTTAAACTTTCTTTAAACTTAATAGATCAAAAACAAAGGATTTGCGGACATTTATTTATATGAACTTTTGTCCTTGTTTTGGTGTGAGGAAGGCGCCCCCAAAGTTCGTAAATGTATTTTGCTACACCCTATATATATATATATATATATATATATATATATATATATATATAGCTGAATAATTGTATTATGGTATGGTATTACGAACACTTATTACACTGAAGAGACCTGACGATCGAAACCAATGTAGTGCGCGTTGATATAAGTTGTTTTTATCCTTTTGTCATATATATATATATATATATGTGTGTGTGTGTCGTGTCCTTTTAATTGTTTTTATCAGTAGAAGCCAAGATGGCGGGACCCTAAAACAATCGCAGTAATGAAAACTTGGAAATACAAAATTTCTGGATTGCGTGTCAGAATCCGGTCTAGAATGTTTTTAATTTGATCACGGAGTCAGCCTGATTCCAAAATGATATGGTATGTTGGTAGGAGTAAAGTTGAAAAAATGTGACACAGGGGAACATTGACATTCTCATTTATTATATATATATATATATATATATATATATATATATATATATAGGCAGCATATTTTATTCAAACAAGTTTCATTGAATAATATAGAGATGTTGTGTCTACTTATTTTTATACTAATCCTTTCCATTTCTCTAATAAGTTTCTTGATCAAATTTATACAGGAAGGCGCCGTAGTTTTTTCCTACCAAAGTACTGTCGATCTCTTCCATCATATATATGTGTGTGTGCTTTTGTATGTATGTATGTATGTGTGTGTGTGTGTGTGTGTGTATTGAACTACCCTCTCGAAAAGGGGTTTTCAAACCAAACTTCTATTTCAAGCGGCATATTGGGGATTTTTTGCCATTTTCTGAGCTGATTAGTTGTAATGATCTTACAATCTGTCAGGCTTTTAACGATCTGTCTAGCTCTAAGCCTAACCTAGCTATATCTGCGTGTTGTTTTTTTTTTTATTCAAATGCCACAATGTTTGAGCCTTATTTATTACATTAATGAGTTTCATCTCCTTAATCTAATACTTAAGCTTGAAAGCTAACACGCGAAAAGTTGATGATTCGAAACATTCTTAATGTAATTATCTCCGTTCCATACATTTGCAAATTTTCTCCTTGGATGGAATTGTTATTTTATTTTATTTTATTTCTTCATTTATTTATTCCTGACGTCGCCTGGAAAACAGCCATCCGAAACGCTTAAATGGTTACTGAGTTTATAAAGAAAATATTTTAAGAAAGAAATCTGAGGAGAAATGTGTTCCAATTAGAACTGCAATGGCCTCGTACCCCCACTCAATAAATGGTACCCCCCGAATCTATAATACGGCCCCCCACTCTACTACATCTCAATTTTTATAAGGTAGTATTCATATATAATACAAATTCTATTGCTTGGAGTGAATTTCCTTATAAAAAAATAAGAAGAAAAAAAAACAAATGATCTAAAAATTAAGAAATATATCTATCCCTCTGTATAATATGAATTTTGTCAAAAAAAAAAAATTATGAAGACATTTTGTCGACCTTGACATTAAGAATAAAATCGAAACTAAGCGACATAAAATAATGTTGAAAATTTCCATCGCGGTTTTCTCGATAAATATAACATTTCATTTTACCGTCAAAATGTCGGCAAAACGTGCGAGTTATAGTGCAAATTTTAAACAAAAAGTAATAGAATTAACAGTAAGAATAGGAAATAGATCTGCAGCTAGAGAATATGAGTTGAATGAGGCTAACATACGTTTATGGAGAAAGAATAAAAATGAACTAAAAAAAGTGTAAATCAAGTGCCAAAGCTGTAAGGTAAAGGATGAAAAGCTCAATATCCAGATACGGAACAAAGTTTAGTTGAATTTGTGAAAAAAAGACGATCAAGTGGATATTCCATAAGTACTTTGGAAATAAGGATGAAGGCAAAAGAACTTATGAAAACCACGTATCCTTGAATTTTTTATTTTCTCGCCAAATAAAAAATACGGTTACTGATAAACATAAATTTACTGACAAAAATGTTACAATTATTATTGTTGGAATTAAAATGAAAGTTGGGATAATAACTTTCTTATTTTAGAATAATAAGTACGTATTTATTATTATAAATCAATAACGAAAAAAATATTTTTGTTTAAACCTATTTATAATACGCATCTCTACTATCACCCGTAATTTACAGTAAAAAAATGCGTATTATTTTCGAGAAATGACGGTATCTTCCTGATTGGCTATAATTCATTATTCAAAATAAATGCGCTTTTGACAATAAGTTGAATACTCGAGTACAAATGTGAATAAAAATATGTTTGAATTTTTTTTTTGTTTTACTGAATTCAGGCATATATATAAATTATGAATTAGTTTCTTTTGAAGCCAAACAAGGCAAACTTAATCTTCTATCTTCTGCTAAAACATCGGGTATATAAATGGTTTCGCGCCATTTACTCACTGGGTGAGTGAGTGCATTGGTATGGAAGAGTAAATGGACCAATTTAATAAACTTAAAGGTAAATAAGTGGTTACGAAAATGGCTCCTTGCAGTCCGAAGAAAGATAGTCCATGGTCCGTGAGTTTGCGACCTTTGATATACAGAGAGAATATAAAAGAAACAGGTAGTTTAAAAAATCAATTATGCCCAAAATATTCAAGGTATTGACACAAATTTGCATAGACATTATGGATGTTTATTACAACAACACAATCAAAACAGCGTACGTTTGGCAATGAACCAAAAAGACTTCGGCAATTTTTTTTCAATTGTCAGTGAGCATTCGGAAATCTGTGATGTAAGTTATCAGCAGATGTTTTTGGGAAG